AGATATCACAAAAGTGAGTATATTAGTAGGGCCGATGTGCTTGATAAAATTTGCTAAAATTTCTTGGCTCTTTCTGGTAGCTGCCATACAACATCAATAGTAGTTTGGCACAACCAGTATTTTGAATAACACATAGTACTGAAATTTTGCATAAATTAATATGGTAATACGGCAACTTAAAGTCATAGTCTGCCCCATAGTTAGTTATGGCACATTAGTTATTCGCACATAGGATAACAAATTCGTACGGGTATCACAGAGTTGACAAGGTCAACTCTATTTTTTTTCTCGTTTTAATTTAAAATCAAAAATTGCATACCACATTTTATCACTTTTCCAATTTGATATTTTATGTACCAGGAAAATTATAAAAATTTAAAACGTTTTCTGGTATACCACAATTTTTTAAACACAATATATTATTATGTATATGTATGTATTGATGTATTTACATATTACGTAACATAAACAAATTAATTTATGTATTGACATTAAGTATGTATATATATGAACATATCAGTGTTTGAAGTATAAAATTAAATAACATTTGTTTACTTTTTTTATTTACTCTGAAAAATTTTGTGATCAAATCACTAAATTTATACATTGACTTCTGTAAAACACACAATAATTCCAATAAAATTTGATTTTTTTTTAAAATGATATACAAGTATAATGCGAAAATTAATTACATCAAAAATAAATATTCTTAAAAATTAATATTAAATTCCTACAGGGTAATTTTATAAAAGGAACGAAAATTATAAGCTGAGTACAATTGTAAACAGTACAATTGTAAACAGTACAATCGCCCAGTAAATTTTATTATGTTGAAGTTAAATTAAAAATCTCGGGATTATTTCACATTCAATTGAGAATTTTATTTTAAATCTTCACATAAATCCTTAAATTAAGATTAAATTTACTGAAATAGCAAAATTAAGAATTTCACTATAATTCTAGCTTAATTTGATAAAAGCGAATTATCCGAAAAATGTAAAATTTTCTCAGTTTTTTTATGTTAATCAATGCACTATTGTGTACCATAGCTATTAGTTTCGAAATCTATATGCAAAGAGTCATGACATAATCAAACGACAATTTAGTCACGACATAATCAAAAGCTGAAACAACAAATAACGTATAATTCAAATTATGCTTTAAGGACGAAATAAAATACTAGCTGTAATTTCTATGATTTCATTCTAGAAATTTTAAAAATTTTTTAATTATTCTCAATACGCGTATAACACCTGTAACCTGACTTGTAAGTGTATGATTTAATTATGTTTTTTATGCAAGTATACGCATAATATATATACACATATTATGTATATATATTGCTTTATTTAATAACATTAAATATTCATATTAAATAAACCAATATTAGAGATTCATTTGAATATTTACCGAAAATTTAATGAAATATTTTTGTATAACCACAATATTACGAGTATAATGTACATTTTGTATATTACGAGTATATACATGTATATTGTAGATGTATGAAAACGATGCTGAAAAACTAAAATGTAACATAATGTTCTTTCTACTCCTTATTTATGCAAATTATATTCTAAAACAATATTTTTCATGTTTTTAAAATTGATTATGTATGTTTGTATGTAGTATGTTGAACAAGTTACAAAAAATTTTTTTATACAATTATATAGATTGTTATATAATATTTTGTTACATTGTTAATGGGCGGATTTGAACAATTTCAATGAATATTTTTAGTTAATTTTGTTAAAATTTTAACAGTATAGTTTAAATTTTTAGAATATAACATTAATTAGAGCGAAATTTTGAAAGTATTTTCATTAAAATTGAAATTATATGACAAAAAATTATATGATTTTGATCAGCGTTGAATTTTGAGTCGATGTAACGATGTATCTCCGTCCGCTTGTCCATCCCAACGATATCTAAGTGAGTTAAACCCACCAAATTTTCACAAATCATTTATAATACAAAATGCCAGAACCCTATTTAAATTGGATGTGATGGGTACGGTTGTTCTGGTAGCTGCCATACAACTTCAAAAGTTACTTGATAATAATTTAGAAATTGTTGAAGCTACGATATTGAAATTTTGCATAAACGAATATGGTAAAATGGTCATAATTTTCGGTAAAAACTGTTAAGATAATTTGAATGCGTATGATAGCTGCCCTAAAACTTCGAAAGTTTTTTGGCTAGATCCCAGGAATTATAGAACCTGCAGTATTGAAATTTCACGTAAGAAAATATTTTATTTGGGCTCTTATATTTTATGAAAAATTTTTTTTTATGGTTTTATATTATGGAAACTACTAAAATTACAGTGCTGAAATTTTGCATAAACGAATTAAAAAACCCGAAGCACTTATGGAACAGTGTGGCAATCAACACACAGCACTTAAAATCATTCATTCGTACGGGTATCACAGAGTTTTAAAGTGTTCACTCAAGAAAATGTTTATAATACATGTAATTGCTTACATAATATAACAGTTGAACCTACATAGTATAATCATAATTTCACTTACTATTTGAAAATTTTCGAAATTTTTCTAAACCCTTGTTAAAGACGTTTTCTGACAATGAGATTTCTTTTCTATATTATTGTACAAATAGCGCAATATTTTAGATAATATTGTTTAAATATCTTTTGTTTCGCCCTCTATATCATTTTGTTGTCTATAATAATAATTTTCAATATTAGTATAGGATCCCATAGACTGTAAGCAAAGTTCATTTTTCTGATTTTATATTTAGATTATTTTGCATAATGTTTATATAAATTATTGGGATGTTCAATTTTAATTGGAAATTAAGTGGTGAATGACATTTACAACCAAAAAAAATATTTACGATAAATATTTTCAAAATAAATAACATTAATTAAGGTGTTTATAAATTTTAATATTATTTATATAATATAAATTATGTTAAAATAAATTGATTTATTTTATTTATTTTAATTGTTTTTTCTCCTTGTTTTTTATATTATGTAGATGCTTTTCAATTATTCATTGGTTTTTATACCCGTATGAACGTATATTCGAAGGGTATACTAAATTTGCCTTACCGTTTGTAACGCTAAGAAATAACTGTCTTAGATATAGGCTTAAGTGTATGTTTTTGATCAGTGTCAAATTCTGAGTCGATTTAGCCTTGTCTGTCCGTCCGTCCGTCCGCCTCAGCGATAACTCAAAAACTAATTGAGCTAAGAAACTATAATATTGCTGTGATATTGAAATCACACAAGCGAATATATTGGTAGGGCCAATATGTTTGATAAAAGTCGTTGAAATGAGAGTATGGCAACTTAAAGTCATAGTTTGTCCCTTAGTCAGCTATGACACGTTTATTCGCACATAGGATAACAAATTCGTACGAGTATCACAGAGTTGACACGATCAACTCTATTTTTTCTCGTTTGTTAATATTTTTTATTCATTACATATAGATACAAAATCATTTATAATTTATTCAAAACATTGTTATAAATTCAATTTAATGTAAAACAAAAGGATATTTGAAAAATTATTTTAAATTAACAACAAAATTATTTGCATATTTTATTAGTTCATAAATTATTTTTTGGATATTAATTGATTTTATGCATATATGAATGCGATATGAGAACACAAAATACTATTAATTTATCAAATTAATAAAAAATTTTTGTAATAAAAATAATGATAAATTAACAAAAGTAAATATAATTAAAAAAAAATTAGTTATCGATTAAAATAATCAACAAAAAAAATTGTTATTTATTTAAAAATTATTTTAATTATTGAATTTTTATTATACTGCTTTTTATAAATTGAGGTTTGGGTGTGGTTTACATGATTGTATAAAAAAAATATTTGATTGAATTTAAAATATTAGTGACCAAATGAAATTCACTTAAACTTTGCAATTAATTTTAAATAAGGACGAGTGTTGCGTTATAATTTTTATTGTTTACAATCAATCATTTTGTAATATGGTAGCGTGAAATATAACAGGTAAAAAAATTGAAAGGGAAGTGTAAGGTGTTGTGGCCGGTAGCTCAAATTAAGAGGACGAAGACAATATTGTTGAAATATAGTATAGGGTACATCTCGACATTTTGTTTGGGGGTGTTTGGTGATCTCGAGATATATGTTGCATTTGGAGAATTGTCTCTTGGAAAATATGGTCAAAAGATTGAGAATTACTGCAATGGATGTCTGTCGAGAACATCAGGATATCATGGAAGTGGGTAACATCGAACATGTTCTTGTGCCTGCCCGTCTCTGATGTCGAAGAGGAGAAATATTTTGGGAGCTCTTTTCTTAGATAGTTTGGGGGTACTCTTGAGGGGAAATTTTGATCCGGATTCTGAAATCTGTAAAGAAGAACAACCCTCCTTATAGTGAATAGCTTGGAGATTTTTGTTTTGTTTGAGATGTTGTTTGGTAAAGAGAGTTGTTAAGTGTTAAATATAAGAGTTGTTGATACGCTTTCTTGTTGATTTGCATTGGCGTCGTGTAGCTGGCCAGCGGTTACTTTCTCTCCTAAATTATAACTAATGAAGCAACGTATATATAATTGTATTAGAATTATTTGTTTCACTATAATTCTCACATTTTCTTAGTGCTCTACAAAATTAAGGTCAGATTGAAAGATGTTGTCAGATATTATGTGAAAATTCAAATCAAATCAATTCATTTGTAATATTTCCTTGTTTCAAAACGGAGAGAATATTTTAACCCATATTTTTGGATAATGTCAAAGTACATACGTAAATTGAAAAATATTCTGGAGTTGAGAATAGGTTATGCTAAATAAATTTGAATTCTTATATTAATACTGTTGAATTTAAAATTGCATCTTTAATCATTTATAAATATTTTTATAAAAACAGAATTTCTTTGACAATTTGAAAATTGAATTGGATTTTTTGAACTCTTTTATTCGTATATATTTTATTATAAAATTAATATTTTTACAGATATAAAAATTAATTTTTAATTTAATTTTAGGCGGACTCTCCGTTTGGTAAATCAGATGCCTATATTAAATTAGAACAGCTTGGTGAAGGATCTTATGCGACTGTTTTTAAGGGTTATAGCAAGTGAGTATCGTATTTATTTTTTTTTTTTAACTATTTATTGAAAATAATAAAATATTAAAAAATTTAAAATAAAATAAAATTTTTACCTTGGAATCATTACAACTAAATTGATAAAAAACCAGAATAACTTTTTGTTCTAAAACATAATTTGAAAAATTTTTAAATAATTACGAAAAATAATTTCATGTATAGTTGGTCATTCAAAAAAAAAAAATCGAAAACTAAAGATACGAGTACAATCATATTTGAATAATTGGGTCATTTTGTCCATAAAGAATTAAAATGCATCTACATATTTTGAATGTAAAAATATAAAATAAAAAATTTTAAATATAAATAAAATTTATGACAATCCCATTAAAATTCGAAATGCAATCAGCACTCAATTTAACTAAAACAAAAAAAAAAAAAATCAAGCAATAAAATAAAACCTCGTTAAAATTTATAATATTTTTATAAAATTTCAAAAGAATGTTGCAGAGTGGAAAATGTAAAAATTAAGAAGAAATGTCCATAGAATACCTTAAAAATATTTACCTTACCTTAATAAATTACGGCTTTATACACAAAAATAAAAAAAAAAAGAGGAAATTTTTTTTTCAAATTTTCCTCAATTTTTTCTATTTTACCATCTGTAGTACAAATAAGAGGGAGAAAGTATAGAGGAGGAATTTGTAATGCAATTATATTTTTTATTTGTGCAGAAATAAAGAAAAAAAAAATTGCATATTTTCTTCGTTATCCTTTAAAAGTAGCAAAAGAAAGAAAAAGGGGAAAAAAAATTATTTTGAATGAAAAAATTTTTTTATCCAGTGCTATCCAGGAATTTCCTTTGAAATTCTAATAATAACTATACACAAAAGTTCATTATTTTACTAGATATTGTGGAATCTAAATTTAAAAAGGGATTCTACTACTTGAATACAAAATTGCAATTGTCATTGAATAAAATAAAAGTTTTTTTTTTTAATGAAAAAATTTTGAAATAATCTATTGGTCAAGAAATTACAAATTGTCCTTGTAATAAGCACACTATATAAAACAACGTGTTTTCAAACAATATGCATTAAATTCATCAAGAATCCAGTAATAAGACAAAATTATAAAAGCTGACTCTTGTAGCCCTTAGAATATTTCTGTAGAAGATTAACTTCTTCACGAATCGATTTAAGATAAATGCTCTGCGTAATTTACAAATATTAATAAATTTTAATCGGATAGAATCGATAATTTGCTTTTAATATAAGCTCATTTAAAGCACATTTCGTAATAAAAATCTAAAAATTTTAAAATTACATCCTTTGGTGACAAATTTATGTAAGGAGACAATAATTTTCTTATAGAATTCTTTTTTAATTTATTTTTTTGAATAAATCAATATTCTTAAGTTATTGTAAGTCTTCTTTAACAGCTACACAGTGTAATTTTTCATCCATACCAGCATTAATCATACAATTTTATTTTCTTGTAAATTTGAATTGTGTCCTTTATTTTCAAATTAAATTTTTCGGCTTTTGATGTAAACATAAAGTAAATTTTTTTAACAAGCGTATAGAATGAGTGTCGTATATTCTATAACCTTTTACAAAACTTAAGTATTTTGTGTGTTATTTGCCATTTACATATAACTAAAAAGATATAATGAACGGGTTCCTACTTATTTATCTAAGTTGTAAATGAAAATCAAAAAGAGGACATGAAAAACTTGTATGTATGTATGCAATAATAATTTTTTTATAACTAAAATAAAATGTCATGCCACTGACCTACTTTTATGTTTTTTTTTTTCTTATATAAAGAACACTATCGAAATATTCGAAAATGGTACTAGAGAAAATTTTGCTCCCATTAACGATGCGCAAAAATGTATGTGTGTGAGTATGTACCTACGCATATATACATATATATGTACGTATATTTGTATATACATAAAATATACCAAGTAAAATATAAAAGAAATACTAAAATAATAATTTAGCATTTAAGATGGAAGGGGTTAAGTGGGCATGTCTGATATTATATGAATAGATAATAGAAAAGAAAAGGATCTCCAGATAGAGAATTTGTTACATATTTTTTGTGCTTATTTTTTTGTTTTTGTTATTCTTCTTTTTGTAAAATAAACTTCTATCATGAAATGTATATATAAATATAGAGGAATTAAAAGTGGAACTTTTTTTTATTATTGTTACGCGGGTATTACCAGATTATTATTAAATTAGATGTTCCACTTTCTATTACAAACAAAAAAAAAAGAAATATTTCAAAAGTTATTCTGTATAAATTAATGAGAGTATTAAAACTTGAAATCTAGGTGATTCATAAATAAAAAGAGGATGAACTGAAAAATATCAAATGTTTTCATTTGAATTGTAAAGGGTTAGAGGGTGAAGTATTTACGATATACATATTTTTGCAATAATTAGTGAAATTTTTCGAAAGTCAACAAAATGGCAAAGTATTATACTAATTGACATGTAAATAAGATTGGAAGTTGAGAGGACGCGTTTTCCTGAAGATTGCATTTAGCGCTTTTAAGCCAGTTTTGGTAAATTTCGGAAAACCCATTACGGAATCTTATTTAATAATGAATGATATTATATGATGTAACAGAACGCATAAGTCACGAATTTTTTAAACTAATTATGCCTGAATTTCCTAACTTTTATATAGAAAATTTGTGTAAAAGATCACAAAAATTCACAAAAATCTTTATTTCTAAAAAAATTTTGAATTGTCTAAAATCAAAAAAATTGCGAGAAATTGTAAAATTGAAAAATATATTATAGTTACTCACCTATAGAATAAACGTTTCACTTATAAGTTCTAACAGCAAATGATGACTTTCCTTTTAATAAATTTAAATCTCAAAATTTTACTCCATTTTAAAACTTAAGACCTTAAACACTGTATTGCAAATTTAGCAAAGGTATCACTTATCTGGGCACTAAATTTAATTTTAATCAGATTTTGTTTCTAATCTATTGGCACATATTTTCCGTCAAATAATAAAATCTAACTTAATTTAAATCGAAACTTTTATACTTTGTCCTATAAAGGCTTCACAAATTTTGAAAGCCTTCTATTATATTATAGAGTTCTTGTAAATTCAAAAAATTTCATTGAAATCTGCACAAAATTTACATTTTATCAATTTAATTTTAATAAAATGAAATGTTTTTAACAAAAATACACCCTGTACATCAAATAATATTTTCATTTTCTTTATTATTTTCCTTGAATACATGCTAATAAACATATTATTATCCTTATTATGATATTAAATAAAAAAGAAAATTAAATTTAATGACCTTAACTATTTATGAACTTCTTTTTTTTGTTTTCTCTTCTTTGTTTTAAACCTTAATGCACCAGATTTTATAATTTATTAATATTTTTATGGTTCAAAGCAAATTTTGCTATTATTATGGTTTGTTAAGTTCAAGATCTTTATCAGAATATAAGAAGAAAATTGGAATATTAACATATTCTTTGAGAAAATTATTTATTTTTTTTTTTTTTGGGTCAAGATTTTCCACAACAATAAATAATTCTTTGTAGATATATAGAAAATCTTATAAAGTGGAAAACGATAAACATTGTTATGGCCTCGACTAACTAGAAACAATTTTCTTTATAAAAAATTATTTGTCATCTTTAGATTGGCAACTCTTTTTCTTTAAAAAAAATAAAGATTTTATTTTAATTTTTTTTGTCTATAATAAAATTTTCATTCACAATGCATTTTAAATTTAATTTTGTTGCACGAAAAAAAAAATGCATTCTCTTTAAAAAAGAGAAATACAATTTTCTCTAACTTTTTGAGAATAGAAAAAAAATTTTTTTTATTTGAAATTTAAAATTTTCTCTTTTCTTTTTTTATTTGGAAAATAGAAATAAAACCCAAAATTTCCATTAAAAAGGGCATAACAATTGCATTCTTTTAATTTCAAAAGCGAAAATGCATTTTATAGAAAACCAACAGGAAAAACAAGAAAAATAAATGTTATAAAAATAAGGATGCACACATTAAAAAAAAAAATGTCTAAATTAAAAATAAAATGCTCTATAATATTTTTATATTTGCATAATGAATACATAAATTCTAAATACATACACACATTATACACAGTTAGTTATAAATAACAAACAATAAAAAAAAAATGGTGAAAGAAATTGAAATATACAATTGCTTGCTTGCTGGAACTAAAATCCATGAACTATTTTTGTTGGTTTTTTCCTTCTTACGCTCCATTCTCCATGAATACCAAAAAAATAAAAATAAATTTGGAGCCAAAATATGATTTGTAAAGTAGCACTTTTACACAAATTTTTGATGGGAATTTCACTGGCTTTTTTCAAATTATTCTCACTGGGCGGCCTTTTTTTCACAATCTAAGTACTGAAATTTTAAAAACGAACGCATAGGTCTGTGACTTAACATTTTTGGTGAAATAAAAAAATTTTCTTTATGCATGTATGGCGCGATCTATGGACGCTCTGAGCTTAAAAAAGAACACGAATTTTTAGTTCTAAACACTGCTCTATTGCAAATTCAGAGCACAAAAAAAAAACGAAAACGACCATTATGCCAAATAAATAAAAAAAATATTCCTTAAATATTGCATACCTTCAGGATGAGAACAAAAATTAAAAGAGGCAATAAAACATTTACTAGCATAGAATTTTCACATTCGATGGCTAATTTAATTAGTTAATATGAATAATTTAAATTAGTAGCATTTAATTATGATATATTTTACTCTTAGCTTCTTCTGCTTATAGTAATTTAACAAATTCTTAAGAGTTTTGAAAAAATACAGTGCCGAAAATTAATATTTTTCGAATTGTCCGGGTTTGGAAGGGGGAGAAGAAGATAAAAAATTTCTTTTGAAGAATTCTGACGAAATGAATTTGTTTTTCTTAATTAAGTACCTAGAAGTCAATAAAATTTCAGGAACTTCAAGAACGTTCTCTGTGTTTACGGTATTTATGGGATT